ACGCATGCGGGCGGCAGCACTGGGGCCTTCGGCGGAGCCCCCTATGGGGCCACGAAACGTGTGAGGGGTGTGCCGAATTGGGTGTGCGTGACGCATGCGGGCGGCAGCACTGGGGCCTTCGGCGGAGCTTCCTATGGGGCCACGAAACATGTGCGGGGTGTCAAAACATCGCCCCCGGGCCTCTTCTGGAGCGCATTCAATCGGGGATTCGGGGAAAGCCGCCGGGGAAGTCTCGAGACGGGCAGCCAACGTCACCCCCCTCTCGTCCTCCTCATCATCGACATCGACCTCCTCCTCCTCCTCCTCCTCCTCCTCCTCCTCCTCCTCCTCTTCCTCGTTGTGCTCCTCCTCATGTATGGCCCATGTATGGCTTCGCTGCGGCAGACTGCATGGCCGCCTGTCCGTCCGCCTGCACGGCGGCCCCACCCCGATCGCGGGGCCAACAGTGGGGGCCAGGCTACCAGACGCACCCTAACCGGGCGATTCATCGCCCAGCGCGACTCCGGGAAAAAAGCAAAGAGGGAGAGAACACGGCCTAGCTGGGAGGGGCGAGGAGGACGATGACGAGGAAGGCCACGCATGTCACCAGACTTCACGCCTCGCCCTGCGAAAGGTGCAGTGATCTTCGCTCCCCCGTGCCGCCCGTAGACCCAGAAGTGCGAATCGCGATTGTCTTCGAAACCCTGCGGGCGGCCTGCATCCGCCCAGAAAGGGCCGGAACGTCGCTGCATCCACGCAGCCAGGCGGCCTGGTGTCTGGCCCCCCCGGCCTGGACATCCGACGCTGGCACCGCGACCGACGTCCTGAAAAAACAGAAAGGTCCAAGCTCCCCCCGCCACTGCATTTGTCTGCGGGCCCCGTTGATCGCGACGAGGGAAAGACAGCAACGAGAGCTGGATGAGGATAAGGATGCCAGGGACGATAAGGCGGAATGGGAGGCGAAAGAGAAGGAAGCGAATGAGAGCGGAAGTAAAAGTAGGAGCGAGAATGCCAATAGTCCTGGAAGGAATCAGATTTGTGTCTCCCCTCGCGCCCTAGCCCTAGCAGCAGTGCAGCGCGTGGAATCCTGCCCGCAGAAGGTATCGCCGCGCCAGTGTGCAAGGTTGAAGGACGACGCGGAGGGCTGCGGCAGAGAGCGGCGAAGACTGCCCACTCGACCCCACACGCGCCCATGTTGGCAAATGCAACCAACGGGAAACGGACGAACGTCAAGGACCGCGCAAGGTGCTTCAAGCAAACTCAAATGCACAACAACAGGAAGGCTGCCCGGCAAAAAAACATGTCGCGCAATGGCTACCAAGATGGCGTTGGCCTCGCAAACACCACCCCCAATCACGAAGGAACGTGCCGGCCAAGAGGGGCGGCAACTCCAGCCACTGGCAAGCGCCCAGTTTGCGCGTGAAACGCATGAGGGCCCCAGGGACGCAAGGAACATACGCCCCCTCCGCCAGCACTGGGCACGGGGGGATGGAGCCCCCCGCCGCGCCGTGCGTGCATCTGCTGGGTGTGAAGTCGAGCCCTTGGGACCCTGGTTCAGGTTCGGACCTTGGGTTCGGCGATGCCTTGCACTGAGCACTCGTGTATGTGTATATATACACATGCCCTTAAAATCCAACGATCATGTGTTCACTATATCATGCCAGCGCGCATATATAAGCCGCGTGCACACGTACTCATTAATATGCACGCGCACGCCGCGTCTGTAGTTGAATCCCAAAGACACATACATATAACCGTGATAAACCAAGCGTGCATGACGGTGCTCACAGGTGTACATACATTGACGCGCGGGTGTGCAAACTGGTGTGCTCATTCACATGTACAGGCGCATGTGAACAGTATACGCGCTAGTATGTGTAGAAGCATGCCTTTACACATACTGACACACGCGGTGGCATATACACTCTTACATATATTTATGAAAACATTGAAATGTTCACATCATATGCATATGTTCCATACGCTCCGTTGCATGTGAAGTACTGCGTGCAGTAACATATTAACATATTAACATATATATATATAAGTATATATATATATATATGTATATATATATATGTATATGTATATATACGTACACATTACACACAAATGCGGCCGGAGATTTCCCGGGGATTTTCTGGAGATTTTCCAGAGATTGCCAATGCTAGTTCTTGAGTTCCGAGATTTTCCGGAGATTTCTCAGAGATTTCTTCTAGCGGGGAGATTTTCCGGAGATTCTGGGGAAGATTTAAAAGGCCGGAGATTTTTTGGAGATCTTTGGGACACCGAATCACCGGTTGGAGATTCCCCCGGAGATTTTTTGGAGATTTGTCACCCCGGTGGCCCCGGTCATGTTTGCCAGAATGACCCAGCCCAACTCTTGGGCAGTCTTGGGGGCTGGCAAAATCAAAAAAGCGAATGTGCTAGAAGTGTGCGCTTTGTTCCGTGACGGAGACAAGGCTTGCCTCTTCGGGCCCTCTTTGGGGGCCCTCTTGGAGCTGTCTTGTGGCGTTTGGGGAGCCTCTGGGGCCGTCATGACGCCCCGTTTGGAAGCTACGTTGGCCCGTCTGGAACCCCTTTGGGACCTACCCGGAAGCTCCGGGGAGGCCGGGGAAGCTCCAGGGAGGCTCCAGGGAGAGCCCCCAGGGCGGGCTTCCGGCATAGGAAAAATACAGTAGATATGTGCCCATCTACCCGATCTGCGCTCCCCTCTAAAAAGCCCACGCCCTCTGCAGCCACTCCGTGTCCCTCTACACATCCCTCACATTCTACAGACTCTGCATTTCCTCGACAAACTCTCTCTCTCTCTCTTTCTCTCTCTCTCTCTCTCTCTCTCTCTCTGCAATCTCTGGGATACTGGGGACCCAACACCAGGAACGGGGAACCGGGGAACCCAGCCGCCCATCGAAATCGGCAGGACTCCCAGAAGCGGGGCGAGGCGGGATACGAGATGCGGATAAGGATGAGGAGAGGGACAAGCCTCTTGTCCGCGAGCTCGTTTTTGCTGGTTTCTGAGACCTTCCTTGCAAGTCTGCTTGGTGCGGGACTGGTCATCTAGCCGTACGCCTACCTTTTGACGACAGTCAAGTAACGGATCACTTTATGGATGCTGGCAGTAGGGGGCCAGATTAGTGTATCCGCAGGAGGTACTACCCATGCGAACCGAACCCAAACGCTCGCAGGGATGAACGAATTGGAACGTTTACCAGCATGCGAGCCAGGTACCGCAAATATTAATCCGCCGGCCCCCTTGTGGGGCCACCAGGCTGTAGAACGAAGCTTCGCAGTTTCCTGTACCAGTTGCAGCTTCCAGTTTCCACTGTTACAATTATGCTTCTTCCTACTTACTGCTCACTGTTACAATTATGTTTCTTGCTGCTTACTGTTCCTTCTTGATGGACCGCGCGAGGGGGGGAGGCCCAAAACTAGCATTTTTACCACGCCCTGAGCGTGTGCTCGGAATTGCTGGGGTGGGTGAAACCCATGACGTGATCGGCGGGGTCAGGATCCAAAAACACAACGGGTTTGCCACATGTCTGAAATTCGCTGGCACTCCTCACGCAGATCGGCGGGGTCAGGGTCCAAAACACATGGGATTTGCAACATTTCTGAAATTCGCTGGCACCCCTCAAGCAGATCGGCAGGGTCAGGGTCGAAAAACACATTAGATGTGCCACATGTCTTAAATTTGCTGGCACCCCTCACGCAGATCGGCGGGGTCAGGATCCAAAAACACAAAGGATTTGCTACATTTCTGAAATTCGCTGGCCCCCCTCACGCAGATCGGCAGGGTCAGGGTCCAAAACACATGGGATTTGCCACATTTCTAAAATTCGGCGGCACCCCTGGCGCAGATCGACAGGGTCAGGGTCCAAAAACACATGGGATGTGCCGCATGTCTTAAATTTGCTGGCACCCCTCACGCAGATCCGTAGGGTCAGGGTCCAAAAACACAAGGGATTTGCCACATTTCTGAAATTCGGTAGCACCCGTGACGCAGATCCGTAGGGTCAGGGTCAAAAAAGAAACAGGTCCCGACACTGTTTCACGGCGGCGCCCAGACCTCATGATTCCACAATCAGAGCTTGCCTCTGTAGGGGTCCTAACGGATTAAAGGGTTAGGTGAGGTGCGTCGCCGATTTCGGTGGCCAGGCCCGGGTGCCTGGGTGCCCGGGTGCCAAGCGGTGCCCGGGTGCCCGGGTGGCCGGTGAGGTGCGTGGCCGATTTCGGTGGCCGCGCCCGGGTGACCGGGTGCCCGAAGCCCGGGGGTGCCTTGGTGCCCGGGGGTGCCCAATAGCCCAATAGCCCAATAGCCCAGTAGCCCTATAGCCCTACAGCCCTATAGCCGTATAGCCCTATAGCCCTGTAGCCCTATAGCCTTATATCCCTATAGCCCTAATAGCCTTATAGCCCATATAGCCCTATAGCCCCATAGCCAATATAGCTCTATAGCCCCATAGCCCTATAGCCCTATGGCCCTATAGGTCACAGTCCTAGAGCCCTATAGCCATATAGCCCGATTGCCCTATAGCCCTATAGCCCGATAGCCCTATAGCCCTATAGCCCGATAGCCCTTAGCCAGCCCTATAAGGGAGCAATTGAAATGTTTTAAAAATATGTTTTGGGTTTGTGCTCTGGTATCATTTAGATGTTGCATCTCCCATTATCCGAAACAGGGGGCCGGCGGCATAGGGCGAAGCCCTTACGGATATACATGACGTTAGTGCATTAGCGTAAAACAGCGCCGATACATGCCTGGAAGCGATATCACTAGCACTCATGCAATCGCCCAAGCTGCCGTCTCTTTGACATCAACGGGCCATTACCTGCGCAGGCAACTCGTGCATACTCTCTGCAGGTAGTCCAGCGCACTCTACCTGAGAAAGGACGTGCTCGTCGCAAGATTCCAAAAAACTCATGTCGCTTTTTCCTTTTTACATGCGGGGTGCAGGACACCGTTGTGCACCTGGACCTCTCGACCCCTTCCCGGGGGGCTGGCTCTCCATCCCGAGTTGTTGCCTGGCGGCCCCGGGGACCGAAAACTGCCTCCAGAGGCTGCGAGTAAGAAAGACTGCCTCGATTGAGAAAGCCACGACATCGCACCCGGCGATCCGCTGGACAGCTGGGCCTGGCCTCACACGGCAAAGCGGAGCGGCAGCAGGTTCTCAGGTCTCTGGCAGGGAACTCCGTTCTGGTACGACCGGAGACCTGGATACCCAGACCTCCAGCGTCTCCGACATAAGTGGGGACGGCGATCTTTTCCAGAACCATGCGTTCGAACTCAAAAGCCATCAACAAACTGTCCATGATGCAGAACCGGTCCCCGGGGAGTGGTCGATGAGTTTGGGGACCCCGCATTGACAAACTGACGGTATCGGAGGTCTGCGTCTCGGTGAATTCGGGCGCTACCACGACGGCCAAGGTCTTATAATAAAGTCTCCCTGTGGAAAAAACATTACCGCTGGGAAGACGGTGTGCGTTCTGTGGCGGCCACCCGCGTGAACCTGCAGAAAAGGCTGAGCGCTTGGCCTCTCATGGGCCATATGTAATTAGCGCTTCGTATCAGTTCCGCTTCTGTTGTCCTCTCAGGAAGAGCAGCATCCTGTTGATGGCAGCGAAAACGTAGGTACCAGGCATATCGAAACACGCATGGCTGGATTCACATGTGAAACATCCATACGCCACGCTCTGGACAGAGATGCAGAGGGCCAGCGCAACGTCCACACGAAGGCCGAGCTCTGGAACAACATGCGGCCAATTTCCAGTTTTCGCCAAGGCCAACCGCATCATGTGTATCCATCTTCCGAGGGATCACAATGAAATTCGTTGACGGCTAGGGGGGAGAGCATGTCAGTTATCATATTGTCAAACAAAATCATCAGCCATATCACGTCCGAAGCAATACTGGTTGAGGCGTATGTTGAGCGCGATGTATAGGGGACCCCGATGAGCTCTGTTCTTCTTTAATATGCCTAGGCCGTTCGTTCTACTGTGTTTAACTCGGCGTGTTGGAAATCATTAGTTTACAATTTTTAGGCCCAAGAAGAAAACTAAAAACGCTAAACAACTATTCACGTTCGTTGCGTATCCAGCTAAATTGTTCGAGCGTTTTCAGATCAGTTGGTTACATTGTTTAACATTGCCTTCTGCGACGTCCTCGGTTCCTTCTCCTGGCGCGCGGTCCTTCTCAAGGGGTGCAGTCTGGCGGGCCCGATGGCCGCTTGCCCCTCCTGGGGCCATCAGGCCTCCGGGACTGTTTCGGGCGCGTGATAGACTGGTGCCTCAGCGTTTTTGGGGGGTGCTTTTAGCTCTGCGAGGGAAAACGGCGGCAGAAACAAAACACGGAAGCGAACACAGCAGGGAAGCCAAGGAACAGCCTTCGACCGGAAAGCCATTGATAGACATACGTAAATGTATCGATTTACACAAATAAAATTAATACGCGCAGACATACAGCAACCACACAACAACCATACATGCATCACCAACAACAGCAGCAGCAACAAAAACAACAACAACCTACCAACAGCGACAACAACAACGACAACAACGACAACAGCACCAACGACAACAGCAGCAACAACAACAGCGATACTAACAGCAACAGCAGCAACAACAACAATCAGTTTAAGACTGGTCTCCCTTACCTGCTCGCACTCTATTCAACACGTATATCCCAAACCCTTGGTACACGCCCTCGTCGCATTCGATCGTACCCCCTTGGGGGTATATCTTCCGCACCTGCCACGCGCAATTGGCGCCGCCCCTGAAACAGGGGAAGGAGAGGACGGGTGGAAGGGGGAGGGAAAAGGATGGAGCACGGGATTAGCAGGAGGCTGGTTAGGAGCAGAAAACACGTGGCATAACCAGACGGGCCCATCGGGCGGGTAGACCCTACAGGCGGGTCGGGAACGCGGGCCCAAACGGCCAGGTCGAGAAGGCCTGCTGCTGGAGCGTGAGTACTGCATGAATCGCGAGGACAGCTCGAGCGATAGCGCGATTCCCAAGTACAATGTGAGAAAACCCAAAGCGAGAGCGTGATTCCTGAGTGTCGGGGGCGCGGCGTCTGAATAGATTGCGGGGAAGTCCCACGCGAGAGCGCAATTCCTGCATGAATTGTGAGGACGTCCACTGGGAGAGCGCGAGTTGGGAACAAATTGTAAGGAATTATCAAGCGGGAGCCGTTGTTGTAGTTCGTGGCACACCAGAGCAATTTGCTGACCCCTCGCTTTCCCTGGTGAAAAAAATGCGAGCCCCGAGAAAAGCATTTTAATTGAAAGCAGAAATGGTTACCGGGCGGGGGGGATTCACAATACTTGTTTTTGTGGAATTGGGGTTCAACCACAACAGCAGCAACAACAACAACGACAGCAGCACCAGCAGCAACACGACAACATGAACAGCAACAACAGCAACAGCAGCAGCAGCACCAGCAGCAACAACAACAATCATGTTAAGACTGATCGCTCTTACTGCTCGCGTGCCATTCAGCACGTATATCCCAAACCCTCGATGCCCACCCTCTTCGCCTTCGATCGAATCCCCTTGGGGTATATCTTTCTTACCTGCAACGCGTATTTCGTGCAGCACCTAAGGCAGGAGCAGAGAGGACGGATGGAAGGAAGGGGCCAGGGGGAGGGAGGAGGATGGAGCACGAGAGAGAGTAGCAGGAGGGAGCTAGGAGCAGAAAACATGCGGCAGAACCAGACGGGCAGATCGGGCAAGTAGACCCTAACAGGCGGGCCCAGGCGACCAGGTCAAGCAGGCGGGTTGCTGAAGCGTGCGTCCTGCATGAATCGCGATGAAGCCTTGAGCGACAGCGCGATTCCAAAAGTAAATCTCGTGAGGAAACCCATAGCGGCGCCTGAATCAATTGCGAGGAAGTCCCAATCGACAACGCAATTCCTGAGTGTCGAAAGCGCGACGCCAAAATCCGCCGATCCGGCGTGTGAGTTTCAAAGACCCTCAGATATAGCCTGAGCCTCAGTTCTTGAGCTTCAACTCTGCTGGGGGGGGGGGGGGCCGGGGTGGCTGCCGGGGTAGGGGGGGGGTCCGAGTCAGTTTTGGTGGCAAAATCGGAGCTCCAGCTCACTCCGGGTCGGCCCCTCGCCCCAGAGAGCTCGAACGCGGGCTTACAAAAAACCCAGCGGCCGCCCAGACGGCCCAAGAGGGCCCTGAGTGGCCGAAACATCGCTCCAAGACACTCAATATGTTCCTCAGACGGCTCCAGAAGCCTCCAACGTACCCTCCCGACACCTCCTAAGAGCGCCCAAAGACGGAACATCCGTCCCATTCCCTTAGGAAAACGTGCATTGTTTGCATTCTCGTTTCTTTGGTTTTCGCAGTGTCCAGTACGGCCCAAGAGACCCCCAAAACAGGCCCAGAGGCTCTCAAGAGGGCCCCAAGCCAGCCCAAGAAGGGCCCAAGACGGCTCGGCAGGCCCCCAAGATAGCCCAAGCGGGCCCCAGGACGGGCCCAAGAAGCGCCTAAGAGGGCTCCATGATGGCCCCAGAAGGGCCCAAGACAGCCCAAGAGGCGCCCAGGAGGCACCAAAATGGCCCTAAGAGCCCCCGAGAAACCCCGAGAGGCTCCAAGTGGCCCTCAAGAGGCCCTCCAAAGGCACCCAAAAGCGCTCCTGAAGGCTTCAAACTTACTTCCTACACACCCCCGGGAAGCCTCCAGGATGCCTCCTGCATGCCCCCCAAGGAGCCCAAAAGGCCCCCAAGAGGCTCAACATTCACCTCCAAGACGCCCCCCCCAGGAGGCCTCGACGATTCGTCGAAGAGGCCCCTCGAGAAGCCCACGCAATGCCTCTAAGCTGTTTCCAAACCATTTACGTTTGAACAAGCGCGCTGGGGCGAAAGCGTCCTTCTGACAGCGGGATCGTCCTGGATCTGCGGCATCGGCCGGAGGCCGCCTAAATAAATTGCGAGAAAATATCCGGCGAGCGCGCGATTCTTCGATCAATTGCAAGGAAGTCCCTAGCGACAGCGCGATTCTTCAATAATTCGCAAGGAAGTATCAGGCGGGAGCCGTTGTTGTTGTGGTCTGGGGACCAGGGGCGCAGTTTGAGCAGGATGACTTTCCTTTGTAAAAACACAGCGAGCCACCGGAGGGGCACTTGAATGCGTGAGTCCTGCACAACTCGCGAGGAAGTCTCGAGCGAGAGCGCGATTCCTAAGTAAGTTATGCGGAAGTCCCAGGCGAGAGCGCGATTCCTGAACGGCGAGGGCGTAGCGCCTTAATAAAATGCGAGGAGTCGCACGCGAGAGCGCGATGAATCCATAAATTGTGATGGTGCCCCGCGCGAGAGCGCAATTCTTCAAGAAATCGCGAGGAAATATCAGGAGGGAGCCGTTGTTGTTGTAGTCCAGGGACCAGGGGCGCAATTTGAGCACCAAGGTTTTTTATGTTAACAAGCGGGTTGCGAGCCCTGGGAAGGGGCACTTCAGTTGAAAATTATCCCAGCGAGACCCTACCTAGGAGTTGGAGCATCTAGGAAAGCAACATCTACATCTACACCGACAGCTACATTAACATCTACACCTGCATCTACCTCTACATCAACATCAACAGCGAGACTCACAACTACATCTACATCTACATCTACATCTACACCTACATCTACATCTACTTCTACACCTACATCCACATCTACACCTACACCTACATCTACATCTACACTTTCGCATTGGTGCTGCGTTTGCTTTGCATTGCCTTGCCTTTGCGTTTGATTGTGTTTTTGCTGTTGCTTTTGCTGTTGCTATGATTTTGTGTTTGCTTGTGCTTGATTGTGTTTTTGCTTACACGCATGTGTTCGCATTCCCTCACCGGGTGTGCTTGAGAATGCTGCGCTATGCTGCGCTATGCTATGTTATGCTATACGAGGGAACGCTCGGTTGCGCAGTGTTCTGCTAGGCTATGCTATGCTATGATATGCTGCACTATGCTATGATATGCTATGATATGCTGTGCTGCGCTATGGTATGATATGCTATGCTGTGCTATGCTATGTTATGCTAGGCTATACTATCATATGCTATGGTGCGCTATGCTATGCTATGATATGATGCGCTATGCTATGTTATGATATGCTATGCTGCGCTATGCCATGCTATGCTATGCGGCGCTATGCTATGATATGCTATGCTGCGCTATGCTATGATATGCTATGCTATGCTATGCTGCGCTGTGCTATGCTAAGCTAAGCTATGCTATGGTATGCTATGATATGCTATGTTATGCTATGCTATGCTATTATATGATGCGCTATGATATGCTATGATATGATATGATATGCTATGGTATGCTGCGCTATGCTATGCTTCGCTATGCTATGTTATGCTGCGCTATGCTATGATATGCTATGCTATGCTATGATATGCTATGCTATGCTATGCTAATGCTGCGCTGCGCTGCGCTAAGCTGAGCTAAGCTAATAAGCTAAGCTAAGCTAGGCTAGGCTAGGCTAAGCTAAGCTAAGCTAAGCTAAGCTAGGCTGTGCTAAGCTAAACTAAACTAAGCTGAGCTAAGCTAAGCTAAGCTAAGCTAGGCTAAGCTAAGATGAGATAAGCAAAGCTAAAAGAAGGGGGCGCAGCTGGG